AAAAAAAAAAAAAAAAAACTGAAAACACAGACTCATTCCTTCCTGGAGTCAAGAATCTGAGCATCCACACTGTACAGGGCACGCAGTCATGACCTAACATGTCACTGGCTTTCATGAAGCTTCAAGTTTAGCACCTCAATGTCAAAGTCTCCAATTTCATAGAAAATCTGCCAAAAGCTATATGTTGAGGAAGACCGTGGGGCATGCTGCATTTTAACAAGCATTAGTAACACATACCCCATAAGGTACTACTTATCTGCTGAGCCTGGTCTGGTGAATTGCATCCCAAGGCCAGAAATGTTGGGCCCAAAATCAGCCGTGGCAGGAAGTGGATACCCCTTTAAACTGGCTTTTGTGTGCTCTGCTCTGTGCACGTGGACTCACTTTGTCTTCGTGGCAATCTACCTGGCAAGTGTCACCCATTTTACAGATAGGGTAACTGAGGTTCAAAGTGAAGTGACTTGCCCAAAGCATACAGTCAGCAAGGCTGGGCCTGAAGGACTCCTTCCACTCTGCCACCCAGAGTAGGCCCAACATCACCTGTTAATACACTCAAACCCAGAGGTGTGCGGTTTTACAGGGAAAAGGCTGAGCCCTACACAGCTTAGGTGTGGCCTCTGCAGCCACACAGCTCTGGGAGCAAATTCAGATCCACCAACTACCAGCTGTGGCCTTGGGCAAGGTACTCACTTCGAATCCCTAAGCCTCCTTTCCATATTTGCAAAATGGGAAACAGCACTCCCCCTTACCCCGAGAGGGCCACTGGAAGGAATGAGGCGATGTCACAGCCTCTGGTGCACAGGGCATGCTGGAGAAAGGCAGCCCTTGCTGGTCTGCGCCACCAGCTTTCTCTCGCCTCAGACCTGAAATCGCTGGAAAAGGCAGAAAACCGTGCTCTAGTGCCGAACAACCACCCAGGAGCCCTGCCAAGTCTGCCAACAGCACAGATACAAAAAGTAGGAGTAAAACGAAGCAAAAGCCTTGAGTCACGACCAGAAACATTAGCTCGCTTCAGTCAGAGCTTCTTACTATCACCAACAGCAATAAACAGCGGCGGCCGACACTAACAAACCCAGCACTTCACACGCACACGCTGGGCTCACCCCGTTTCCCTCCACACAGCCCCCCAAAAGAGCTGCCCCACCCCAGACCACGCCAACAAGGCAGCTGCACAAGGACATGCTGCACCTCACCAGCGCAAAGCTGTGGCTGTGGTCTGATGGCCCAGCAAAGGGTCAAGGAAAAAAGGCAGGAAGGCAGGCTACCTGAGGCAGGCATGGATTTCTGCCTTTTCCAGTGGTTGCAGGTCTGAGGAGAGAAAAAGCTAGTGGCACAGGCCAGCAAGGGTTGCCCCTTCTCCAGCACTGACTGTGCACCACAGGAATGTGGGGACCCAGGGTGTCTATGACTCGCCCGGACAGACAAGCGACGAAGCTGGGTCACAGGCCACATGCTGTGGTTCCGAAGTCACATTCCTCATTACAGAATTCACGCAAGCCTCTCACAGATATGTGTCAGAAGTAATTCATCATTCAGATTCAGTCTCAATAGTTTTCACTGTTGAATGAAACCATGACAGAAACCTCAAATACTGAACTAAGATCAGCAGAGATGCAGGGTCGAACACTTATGTTTTAATCACAGACCAAGGTGTGATTAAAATAATAAAGTAAAACAGGTGGCCTGGACTACTCATACTTGAAATCCCAGGCAAAGCCCTTTCCAAAACCCGAGGCAGCCTTTCAGAAGGGGAATGGTGTTAGAAATGGTGACAGGTCCTGCTCCAGATCCAGTTCTCCCAGGGCGACCTGGAGGTGACAACAGTAAGCTCACTGTCCAGCCCAGACAAACTTTGGAAATAAGAGGACTGTTCAGTCCCAGAAGCCCAGAGGGGAAGAAACAGCCCTGGAGAAAGAATGCTCAGCTGCAGCGCTGGAGCCAGGCTAAAAAGGGCTGAGGTTTTGGAAGTACAACAGCTGAATTCTAGGCCCTGGCTTGGCCAACTCGTCTTGCTTGTCTCTCAGTCTATTTTCAGCAATTAAACAGTAGCAATTGTATAGACCGCTGTGGTGGTTAAATGAGGTAAGATATATAAAATGGCTGGCCACCCCCTCAAGTGCCAAGCCCTTTCTGTGTGCCAGGCAAGTATCAATGTGGTCCACCTCCACCCAACTCATCATTCCCAAGTTCTGTCTCTGCATGGGATCAAGTTTTGAAGTCTCTTGGTTTAAACCAAGTAAGAATGCCCATCTTGCTGTGCTCTTGAGAAGCCTTGCAGCCTAACAGGTAAAATAAACTGCCCACTTAAGCGACAGCTCCCACCCTGGACAACCCTAGAGGGAATTAATCAATCAATTATTTATTCTTGAGAGGTCTCATCCTGTCACCCAGGCTGAAGTGCAGTGGCACAGCCTTGGCCTCACTGCAACCTCCGCCTCCCAGTTCAAGTGATTCTCCTGCCTCACCCTCCTGAGTAGCTGGGATTACAAGTGCCCACCACCAGGTCCGGCTAATTTTTGTATTTTTAGTAGAGACAGCGTTTCACCATGTTGGCCAGGCTAGTCTCAAACTCCTGATCTCAAGTGATCCGCCCGCCTCAGCCTCCCAAAGTGTTGGGATTACAGGCGTGAGCCACTGTACCCAGCCCCCTAGAAGGAATTTAGAACAAAGTTATTCAAAGTTCTAGCAGCAGACCAGTTTGATTGGGCAGAACAGCATTTTTTTTTTTTTAAATGAAACAATAAAACACAGAGTAGATACAGTAAAGACGGTTTGCTTCAGCTTTATACCTAGTTATGTCAGTACAATGAGTCTCACTAAAGTGTCTAACTGGGGACAGATTCAAAAAAGTTTGCAGGCTGCCATTTTAGAAGCACAGTAGGTCAAAGTCCCTGCTCTGGGCAGTTTATAAGGAACCATGCTGGGAAAGATGAGACCATACCAACATGGCAGTCACACCTCACTAGCAACCAACTTGTGGGGTGTGCTCTGATGACCCAGCTGAGGTTTAAGAAAACAAAGCAGGCAGGCAGGCAGGGTGCCTGAGCAGAGCCCTAGTCTCATGCAGAGGCCATGTGCAAAAGACTCGGCAAGCAGGGCAAGAGGGAAGGGGCCATGTGGAAACGAGGAAGCTAATTTGTGAAGGGACTTCATGGGCCTGGTACTTCAGCAGACCCTC